CTGAAACTGGCTGGGCCAGTAGATGAAACTTAAACACTTCAGGGGTTTAGGGCTTAGGTGAGCAGTCTCTCGTCGAGCTTGGTGCCTCGGGCTAGGTATATTGTCCCCACCCACCCAGAGAATCCCAAAACATTAAGAAATACGAGGGTCAAATTCTCCACGCAGCTGATTTCAATCCCAAAACCCCAAAACGTGCCTTGCCCACGAGTTTTTGTGCCCTGGCCACCAATGTTTGTGCCTTGCCACGAATTTCTTGTGCCTTGACCACAATTTTTTGTAGGGCTTTTGCACAATATGATAATTACGTTTGCAGGGCTGAACGAGCTTTAGGGTTTAGGGCTGAATGAGCTGAGTTCCGGGTTCACAAAGGTTGAATCACACAGCACAAGGTCCAGTACTTGGGGGTCTAGGTTTAAACCCCCTAAACCCTAAACCCTAAACCCTAAACCCTAAACCCTAAACCCTAAACCCTAAACCCTAAACCCTAAACCCATGGAGATAACGCTTTCAGGAAGTCCGCCGCCCGCCGCTCGAGCGTGTCCGCGGCTGCGGTGGACCTGAAAAAAGTCAAGGCCTCCGGCCTAAACCCTACACCCCATTGAGCCGTAAACCCTAAACCCTAAACCCTAAACCCTAAACCCTAAACCCTAAACCCTAAACCCTAAACCCTAAACCCACTTCATTGAGCCCTAAACTCTAGACCCTGGACCCCTAGCCAGCCGGTGGTTCTGCAGTCGCAGGGTTTCGGGGCAGGCCGCAGGCTGTTGAAGAAGGGTTTAGGGTTTAGGGCTTAGGGTTTAGGGTTTAGAGTTTAGGAAGAAGGTTTTTCCGGGAGTTGAACCCTAAACCCTAAACCCTGAAGTGCATATGAGCATGCCCCCGTAACCATTGTTGTGAAGCCAAGTGGCTTTAAGTAGGCGTGAGAGTAACCCTAAACCCTAAAACATCCATAGGGAGAACCTTGAACCCTGAGCCCTGGACGATGAAGCCCACACTGCACGCTAAACTTTCCCGAAACTGATTTTTGCAATTCATGGAACCCGGAGCACGTTGAGCTCGACACGCCATCTCTGCGCTCTACTGAGTTCGGCACACGCCTGTTTGGTAGTCTTTAGAGGACACATGTTTAGAACAACGTGCCGGGTTCACCCTAAACCTGCTTAGTTGTGTAGGAGCCCGTTAACTTATCCGGGGGAGCATGGCCTATGCGTTCACCTGTGCATAGGCCGTAGTCCTATGTGTGTAGCCCCAAATCCCATAGCATGTTTTTCGGGGCCCCCCAAGGCCCAAAAACCGAACCCGAAACCCACCCCAGCCATATATTGCGGGTATCCCCCAAAAAGGGCCATCATCTAGATCGCCGAACAGGGCTTGCAGAATCTGGGTGCAACAGGGTGACGAGGTTGAGGTTTGAGAGGCTAAGCACATAACGCGAAGACGCCTTCAGGAATCTGCTCTGGCGCCGCGTCTGTCCTTCGATCTCTATGCCCCCGCCACCTGGTGTCGTTTTTGGGGTTTGGGCTTTAGGGAGTTTAGGGTTTGGGGTTTTTAGTGTTTGGGGCTTAGGGAGTTTGGGGTTTAGGGGGTTTAGGGTTTAGGGTTTCTAGTGTTTGGGGCTTAGGCAGTTTAGGGTTTAGGGAGTTTAGGGTATTTAGGCGCTTTAGGGTTTTCAGGGTCTCGAGGGTATAGGGTTTAGGGTTTATAGCGTTTGGGGTTTATAGCGTTTAGGGGTTATACGTTTCTGGGCATTAGTCAGGATTGGGCTGCTGGTGGCGATGGACTGTGATGCTAGTTTCCCTTGCGCCGACTGTCTTGCCTGATAGGTGCAGGGGCTTTTGGCGGCGCAAGCATGCGTGGCATGCGCACGCCTTGTGTCTAAGGGGATGCTGATGGATGGAGACACCTTTTTGCCGCCTCAATGGCTTCTGGAGTATTTTCAGTGTCTGTAGGTAGGCCGCAAAACACCACGCGCACTCGCAGACCTTCCGATTGCGAGCGCTTCAAAAAGATTACAGATAATACTGATAATACGATTTGTGTTAAAACAGATGCCTGGTTGAAGTTTGGTTTAAGATTTAGGGTTGGACGTTTCAGATACCGAAGACCCCCCCCTAAGGAAGAGGAGGATCCCGACAAGGATACGCTGGAAGTGCTTCCTCCTGAGGGTGTTTGCAGCAAGGCGGCAGCCAAGTCCGGCGAACCCAGCGTATTAAACCCGAAACCCTAAAGCCAAGGCTTATCATGCAAGGAATTATGGGGGATGTCAGGGAGGGGCTGTAGTCGTAAGGGCTCATATGCCCCAAATAGGGTCCAACAAGCCCAACAAAGCCCTTTATCAGCCTTATAGTTTAGCGTAAGGTTGTTACATGGTCCCTTGATATGGTCCCTTCCCATAGGGTGTAGAAGGGGCATATAAGGTTCCCCCAAGTAAGGGCCCGTATTGAGGGACCACTTGTGATCAGTATAGTTTTGACTCCTCACGCCGCTGTTCTCCTCGTGCCTTAAGCCCTAAGCCCTAAGCCCTGCCCTGGACCCTGCTTCATAGGGCTGAAGCCCCAAAACCCTACACAACAAGCCCTAAACCCCGAGCCCTAAACCCCAAAAGCTCTAGCCACCCCAAACCTTCCCAGTTGAAACCTGCCTAGCCTTTAGGGTTTAGGGTTGAGGGTTTAGGGTTTAGGGTTTAGGGTTTAGGGTTTAGGGTTTCCCAGCAACTCACAGTCCAGCCTGGGTTCAGAAAAGGGTTTAGGGTTCAGGGTTCAGGGTTCAGGGTTTAGGGTTTAGGGTTTAGGGTTTAGGGTTCAGGGTTTAGGGGTTAGGGGTTGGGTTTCAGGGTTTCGGGGCAGCCCATCACTTTGTAGCCCCCCTAGACCCTGTAAACTGTGAACCTTACTTGAAGGGTCATGGGAAGTGATAAGTAGGGTCAGAATCGGAAGTACCTCAAACCGAAGTTGTAAAAAAGAGGGGGGGGGGTACGATATTGGGGCTACCTTATTTGGGTCCTTACTATAAAGGGATCCGAGTATTTGGGGGTCTATGTTGGAGCACTCCTATTGTCGTAAGCCCCCATAAGGCTACATTACTTGCAGCCCTACTTATAACTGCCCATGAACCTTCAGGTGCTAGCCCTGAACCCTAAACCCCACATGAACCCTAAACCCTAAACCCTACACCCTACACCCTAAACCCTAAACCCTAAACCCTTAGAATGCTCGAAATTGTCGAAGCTTCGCAGCTTAGGCCGGGGCGCATTGCTTCCCGGCTGCTCCAGATTCCCGGGATCACGTTGGCCAAAGATTCTGGCATGGTCAGTCCCTTAAACCCTAAACCCCTAAACCCCTAAACCCTTAAACCCTTAAACCCTTAAACCCTAAACCCTAAACCCTGAACCCTAAACCCTAAACCCTAACCCTAAACCCTAAACCCGAAACCCTAAACCCTAAACCCTCTCTCTTGGGCCGCAGGGCCGTGGTCTAAGAGGGTTTAGGGTTTCGCTGATAGGAGCGAAGCCGGGGTTCGTAAAAGGGTTTAGGTTTTAGGGTTTAGGGTTTAGGGCCCCTTGTGAAAAAATGGGTTTGGGGGCGTTAGAAGCGACCCTGGTTGAGAACGGAGACATGATGTAGAGTTGAGGGTTTTGGGTTTAGGCGAGTATCGTCCAAGCATACTGCGCTGCTTGATGCAAGAAGTGGGGTGCTATACATGCAGTTGTCAAGAACCATGCAGCCCACATGCATCAGCAATTCGGCTTGGTCAGCTATTTATTAAATGTAGTCTTTTTGTGGAAGGTGCAATGGCTAGATCTTCCCAAAGGTTATCCCTAGTTCTCCTACGAAACTGGACGGGTCGGCTGACGCTATACTTTCTTCAGCTGCGCGGGTTGAAAAGGAGGGTGGCGAAAACAGGTCGACATGCCCGAACTAGATCTTTAGTAGCTGAATGAGTACACTTTACACTTTTTGGGATGCTGTGTTCCCCTCTAGAACTGAAAGTGTACACTTTTTATGAGCTCAGCAATGAAGGATCGGACTGGACTGCACCTGATACATGCCTCGCTTGCATTGCCGGAGCTGCGGCACATTGAGCACACTCTGCATGATAGTATGTAATACTTCCGTGCAGTATATTTATTTATTTACTTATTTAGCGTTGCTGTGTCACTGCGCCTTTCATTTCACTATGACATGGTACAATCCGTTCTAGAGCATGGTATTGGCGAGTATAATGTAGTCCGGTCTGGTAATGCATATCATACTACAGGATCTTGCTATCTTAAGATTGTTAAAGCATAGTATAGTACCCTAAACCCTAAACCCTAAACCCTAAACCCCAGTATTGCCACGTTGTCAGCACAGGCTCCGCGACGCGGTGCAGCGGCAGCTCTTTGCGGCGGCTGCCAGGGGCCTCGTCACTGAAGATGGCAAGCAGGCCGGGTAGGGTTTAGGGTTCAGGGTTCAGGGTTCAGGGTTCAGGGTTCAGGGTTTGGGGTTCAGGGTTTAGGGTTTAGGGTTCAGGGTTTAGAGTTCAGGGTTCAGGGTTTGGGGTTTAGGCTCTGCAGCAGCCAGGTGGTGACCGAAAGCCCTTTTGCAAAAAGGGTTTAGAGTTGAGGGTTTTTTCCCTGTCTCCCTACGGACAGCAGCTGACGGACCCGAGTCTGCAAGACTCGAACCCCTAAGGTTGTACCCCTCATGCTCCCCCTGAATAAACCTTACAAAGGGGCCCCAAAACCTAAGGGTACAACCTTAAGGGTCCAAGGTAGAACCCCTAGAACCCCCTCACCCAAACTCTGCCCAATTTCCCAAAATAGGGCCCAAAAATAAACCTGAACTCTATAGGGGGGGGGGGGGGGGGGGAGGTAGTGGGCAGTAGAATATCTACCGATTGCTGCTCCAGAGCCACTGGCCATCGAGGAGAGCAGGTGTTCATCTTTCGTGCAGATAGCAAACGCTTTCGCTCTTCACCCAAGCAGCTCGAGCACAGGAGGACAAAGGTAGGGACTTAGAATGTCTCACGATGATGCCAATCCCATCGGTGAAGGTTGGACACGACACAGTGCCGACATGCTACTGCACCCTCCATCCCAGGTGTACTTTGCGCAACGAGGGGAGCAGCGAGGCAAATACCTGCTGAAATCAGAAGATGGCTGGACGGTGTGCCCAGCACCCCATGTTGGAAGCGAATGCCCGATGCAAGTTCGCGCTGCTGCGGCGTCAGTTCTCCGATCTCACCCCGAGGGTCAGGCGGTCGACAGGAAGCTCGACCGATCGGTAGTGCTGGCGGACATGCCAAAGACGGCCCGCCTTGCACTGAAGTTCCCACTGGGCTTCCTGGACACGCCCGCCTGCTGCTATGCTCTCTTCACTGGCCTTCGGGGAAGCGCAGCTGCTGCGCAGTGGTGCGCGACGCAATTTCACCAGAGACTGCTCAAGGAAGTCGCGAAGAAGATCCACGGTTGGTGGGACTCCGAGGCTGAGATGCCCGAGGAGCTCCTCTACCGTGGTTCGCACGTGGGCTCTTTGGGCAAATGTCTGCAACATGTGTTGGAGACGCTGGATCACGACCTGCTTCATGGCCCCCTGGGCTTCGCGGGCTGCAATGGCGTTGTAGCAGTCCTGATTGGAGAAAACCTGGTGGCAGCAGCAGTCGGTGAGGCATCAGTGGCTCTCCTCTTCGATGACGCAGACGCCGTACCTCTGATCCCCTTGTTACTTTGTCATCGTTGGGTAACATTTTACATGTTTAAGGGTACTTAAACCCAATGAGGAATATAAATTTGAACTTTTAATACCATCTCAACCATGAACTAGGTTAGGCCAGGAAGAGGAGGAGGATGAGGAGGACGCGACGAACAAGCCGATGTCCAGTGTGAGCAAGCTCATGCAGCTTCCACCAAACCGTGCTTCCGAACAAGGGGCGCTTATAGGAAGCAGTGGGTTGCTGCGAGCCAAATGTGCGTGGGAAGCCCAAGCCGACCTTGATGAGGACCCTGTCAGCAGGATACTTCGCGCCCCGGATGCCTTTGCTGTGCTGGGCACGAGCGAGAAAGGTCCAGACCCGGCCGAGACCAAAGCTGCGTACAAGCGGCTCGCTCTCAGGGTGCATCCGGACAAGGTGAAGAACTGCGATCCGGGTGACGCAAAGGCAGCCTTCTCACGGCTCGACGCCGCCGCCAAGATCGTGGAGGCGCTGTATGAGAACGATGCCGGCACTTGCCGAGACTTGGTAGCCCAGTGGTACCCTTTTCTTTTTTTGGTTCAAGGTTCCCTTATGAAGTGACCAACCCCAAAAAGGGTGCCCTTATTATAATATGGTTACTGGGCTACCAAGGAGAACTTCGCCGCATTTTGCGATATGATCCCCTCGTTGTGAAGGGGGCCTGTCAGCTGCTTCAGGTGGAGATGGAGGCGGATGAGGCTCAAGTTCTCAAGGCCAAAGATACCTTGAAGCAAACGCTTGCCAAAGTGCAGCTGCCAGAAGCGTGTTCCGAAGTTCAGAAGGGCATTGATGCCTGCGTCGCCGCTGTCGAAACATTGCGCGTGGCTCGGCAAGCCGGCCCGTCTTCGAGCGAGCGGCTGGTTTTAGAAGGCGTGCCCTTGCAAAGCCTCTCAGCCATTGGACTTCGTGATCTGCGTGGCATAGGAGGACATCTGCAAGTACGGACAGCAGCATACAGAGCCGGCGAGGACGTGCGTGTGGCGCTGTGCTGTGGCGCAACCGCGCAGCTGTCATTCAAAGACTTGGAAGAGCCAGCAAACCTCTGCCGTTGGCAGCCCAAAGCGGTTGCACTTCAGTGGGCCACGAAGGCCTTGTCGCTGCCTCGATCGGACTCCTCGGCCTCCAGCATCTGTATCTGCATACGCGAGCAAGAGGAGGAGGTTGCTGCAGAGGATCCATCACGGCCTGCGAAGCTTGGTCGCCCAGAGGTACCCTTTTCCCGTTTTTGGGGTTCAAGGTTCCCTTATAAAGTAGCCAACCCAAAGAAGGGTACCCTTATAATGTGGTATGGTTACTGGGCAACCAAGGAAGAGGCATAAGGGCTCCCATGGGCCACGCTCAGTCCGACTACGCCACCTCTTGTTGCGATGTGCTGAGCCTGGAAAGCTCTTGCCAGAGGATCCGATGCTTGGTAGCCCAGTGGTGCCCTTTACCCTTTTTTTTTGGGTTCTGGGTTCCCGTATAAAATAGCCAACCCCAAAAAGGGTGCCCTTATTTTAACGTGGTTACTGGGCTGCCAAGGATGGCCAGGCGTAGGGCGACGCAGAAGAGCCGGACCCCTGCCGAAGCAGAAGCAGAGTTGGTGGAGGTTCTTCGCAGCCTTCTGCTTCTGGACACGGACCCAAATGGGGCAGATCCGGACCTGCAGAGGAGCTCCGCTTTCCGGAAGCTGTGTCAACAGCGCTCAGAATCTTAGGGATTGGATAAAGTTAACCTTTTAACTTTTTGATTTTGGTTATATACAATCCCACTACGAATAAAAGGACAACTGTTTTTTGGGGGGCTAGGGTATTCAGCCCCCTACAAGGAATGCTCTTCAGCAGACAATGCCGGGCAGCTGTGCGGGGACCTCGGATGGATTGCGAGGGGCTCCTGCGAGCCAGCCTTCGAGCAGGCTGCGTTCCTTGGCTTTCTTCTGGCTGGCTCATAGGACTTTAACCTTTGGGTTTTTTGAAGCAACTACAATAAGAAGCCTAAAAGTTAAACCCCTAAACCCTAAACCCTCAACCCCTGGTGCCCTGAACAATTAGGAGGGGTTCAGGAGTCAGCCAAGGTTCACTCTGCGCAAGGCGGAGTTCAGCGATGTGGTCATGACATCTCGGGGTGCCCACTTGATCCAGCGGATTGCTTAGGGTTTAGGGTTTAGGGTTTCGGGTTTCGGGTTTAGGGTTTCGGGTTTAGGGTTTAGGGTTTGGGGTTCAGGGTTTAGGGTTTAGGGTTTCGGGTTTCGGGATTGCGTAAGCTACTTGGAGGTTCAATGGGTACTTATAGCACCTGTTGTAAGTCTACTTATAACCTACTCAGGGGACTCAGGGGGCCTATAAGTACAGTTATAATTGGGGTTATAAGTACCCTGAGCCTCCAAGTAGAACCTTGAAGCAAGCTCAGGCAGCAGAAAGTCAGGCAGGGACCTGCGTAGATGTCCGCCCAGCGGTATAAGGGCGTGATGGCGCTGGGGATGTTCCACGTTTCTTAGGGTTTAGGGTTTATAGGTTCAAAGAAACGGCTTAGGGTTCAGGGTTTAGAGTCAGAGCTTATACTTAGAGGGTTTAGGGTTTGGGCTTTCGTTTTGGCCGAATGATGGTGGACCCTGTGCGGATGCCTTGCCACCAAAACGTTGAGCTCGCTGCCGGTGCCAGCGTGAGAGTCGAAGCCCTAATCAAGGGACTAAATAAGGAGGGACCCTTATAAGGGACCTCAGGGCAACCCCCCAAAAGGGTGCCCTTGTTCCAATTCCGTTACTGGCATACCAAGACCTACTGCTTGCTGAAGAACCACCCCAAAAATAAATGATAATTGTCCCTTTCTGATTCTTGCCATTTTTCGGAAGAATATTCTTCTCATTTTAGTTTCTTGAGCAAGTAGTAGACAAACATCTATCTCATCCAAGCTCCGAAAGAAGTTATACTTGTGGGATTCTTAAGCAAATAGCAGCTCGGTGGGCCCTTTTGGACATGTTATATTTTCCCTTATGGGGTTTAAGAAGATCATATTCAGGAATGTTTTTTAAAACCCTAAAACCCTAAACCCTAAACCCTAAACCCTGTTTTTTAGAGGGTTTTAAGGGCCATCCTAGGCAGTAGCAGCCCTGCCTCTAGGCACACAACAACCCGAACCCCATGAAACCGCTGGTGAAAGCCCTGAACTCCTCACACCCAAGCACCCCCCAACAAGACTCCAAATCTCTAGCCCTAAACCCCAAACCCGAAACTCTAAACCCTAAACCCTAAACCCTGTGCCAGTGTGAGAGTCGAAACCCTAAACCCTAAAAGCCCTAACCCTAAACCCCTTAAACCCTAAACCCCTTCAACCCTAAACCCCAAAATGCTGCATTGGGGCCGCCGAAGGGGCCCTCGCCGAAGGGGCCCTCGCCTGCACCAGAGGCCTACTTGCCGCTGCACTTTGTAGGGTCCAGGGTTTAGGGTTTCGGGTTTAAGGGGATGAAGGAAATTAGGGTATTTTGAGTACTTTAGGGTTTAGGGGGGGGGGGGGTTTAGGCTTCAGGGATAATTTACTATGGGCTCGGCTTAGGGCAGTTTGGGTTAGTTTGGGGCAAAAGCCTGAACCCTATGCGGCCAGATGCAAGAGGAGAGTGCAGTTGGTGTTTTCCATGCCGGGCTCAGACCAGTTTTGTGCCTCAAAGCTGAACCCTAAACCCTAAACCCTAAACCCTAAACCCTAAACCCTAAACCCTAAACCCTAAACCCTAAACCCTAAACCCTAAACCCTAAACCCTTACTCTGGCTTCAGGATTCAGGGTTCAAGGGTCTAGGGAAGCTTCGTAGGATGTATCGCTGGACGTCTCACCTACTTACTAAGATCCCTGAGCCTCTAAATTACAGCCCAACCGCAAAAGACACCCTACACGCTCAGAACCCCAAACCCCAAGAGATTCAGACTCGTACCCCTAAGGTTGTACCCCTTAAGGCCCTCCTTAATGTACTCCTAAAATGGCCCTAAGAGTCATGTCGGAATCTTTAACAAGGGTCCCCAAGCCCACCTTTTAGGTCCGAGGTGGAGTTTTTTTGGCCAATCCCCCACCCCGCAGTGCGGCTTGTCTGCCTGGCGGGTGGGGCAACATGCAACTCCCAAAGAAACACAAACCCTATACCTTGTGGGGCACCTCCAAAGCCCTAACACCTAGCGCGGGCATGGAGCCACTAACCCTCAAACCCAAAACCCCCTAAGCCCTTGAGCCTTCCGACCTTTCTGCGAAGGCCACGCAGCCCGCTGGTACGGCGCCACAGGGCGTGTCACCGGCGCCAGGCGGAGCTGGCCGTCATAGGACTATTTAGGGTTTAGGGTTGAGGGTTTAGGGTTTAGGGTTTAGGGTTTAGAACTGGGTTGAAAAGGGTTTTTGCAATAACGATCGGGCTCCATCCGGGCTTCTTGGGGCTTAGAGTTGGTGGCTTCTGCTGTAGCACCTGTCTAAGGTTTTCGGTTTTGAAAGGTTTAGGGGTTGGGATCTTCCCCCTTATACTAACATTCCTTAATTGGGATTATAATAGGGGTATTATAATTCTATGATGGACTGTTAGTATAAGGGGGAACATCATGGAACATCCCAAGTTTAGGGTTTACGAAGGCTTCGGGTTCAGGTGGTGCAAGATTTTGGGCTTGGGTTGGCGTTGGTCCAATTGTCGGTAAACGCGTTAGTTTTGGGGGGCGGGGGTTCAGGGCTTAGGGGTCTGGAGCTGAGTGTTTAGGGCGCGCAGGATGCAAGGGTGGTGGGGGGATGCCCTAACTAAAGACCACCAACCTTGAAACAACAGTGCAGTCAAGGTGGGGAGACCCTAAACCCAAATCCCTAAAACCCTAGAACCCTAAAACCCTAAACCCTGAACCAAGACTGTATTGGAACCTACTGCCAGGCAGTGCTGTTCCGGGCAAGGCGCAGGAGGAGGACGAGGGATGGGCTGGGGACTGGGGGGGACGTCGGGTAAAAGGTCTCGGTTTCGGTGTATAAGGGTATAGGGTTTAGGGTTCAGGATTTAGAGTTTAGGCCACCGGCCACGCACAGTGCGAGAAGTTTTGCTGCAGAGCCGTGGCCCTCAACCGCGGGCCACATACTTCCTTCCACCGAATCCTACAAGCCTTACAGCCTAAAGCTCTGAGCTGTGAAATCCCCGCCCCTATAACCCTCAACCCCTTTTACGTAGGTCCTATATACCCTACATACCCAATGAACCCTTTTACCCTATACACCCTATAGATCCTATAAACCCTGTATACCCTATACACCCTATGGATCCTATAAACCCTGTAAACCCTATAAACCCTAAAGCCTTAATTGAACCCTAAACCTTTGAACTATATACCTATAAGCCCAAAAACCCCATAAACCGATAAATAAAACCCTATAAACCTACAAACCCTATAAACCCACCAGTCAGGACGTGTCGGCTGCGCCGTCAAAGCAGGATGATTGCCGGGAGGCCACGGGCCATGGGGGTCGACCCGAGGGTAGAGTGGGTTTAGGGTTTAGGGATTAGGGTTTAGGGTGTAGGGTGTAGGGTTTAGGGTTTAGGGCTGGGTTTACGGTTTAGCGTTCAGGGATAGGATTAATACATGAATCGTCCAAGGGTTTAGGGTTCTGGGTTTCGGTTCTTAGGGTGTGGGTTCTCCGGTTTCGGACCTGGGACCACGTCTGGTGCACTTTCTCTTTTTGTTTTGGCAAGGGGAGCAGGGGGGGGGGTAAGGGTACGACCAGAAGCTCCATCTACAGCGAAGGATGTAGAGTTCGGCGGTGAGGGGCGCTGCAAGTAATCCCTTACCCTGGACCCTAAACCCTACCCTAAACCCTAAACCCTAAACCCTAAACAGAACCTTATACCCTGAGAGGACAGCCTTGGCAGCTCGCGCAGCCGGAACAGCCAAGGCAGCGGCGACCTCTTCCGGCCAGACAGCGAGGTGGGCCTCGAGGTTTTGGGGAGTTTAAGAAAGTTTCGGGGTTTAGGGTTTAGGGTTTCAGGGTTATTTGGGAGTTTAGAGTTGTTGTTCATGTTTTGGTTGAGCTTTCAAATGTATTCGGGGTTATTGAGAGTTTAGGATTTTGGGGTTTTCTTGACGGCTACTCAGCACCAGAAAGAGAGAGAGGGAGAGAGAGAGAGAGAGAGAGTCCCTTCGGGGGGATCATGTGCGCTGCAAGCAAGCAAGCAAGCAAGCAAGCAAGCAAGAGAGAGAGAGAGAGATAAGGAGAGAGAGAAGGCGGGGCTTGGAACGACATGCATTCCGAATGTAAAAAACAATCGGGCTTTAGGCTCTGATAGCAACATCTTGGGCTTGGGGGGCTTCAAGTTGGCCTTTATGCTAACGGCTACCGCTTCGGAGGCTTGACGTTCGCAGCAAAAAAAGTGTGGGGATTGGTGCTTTGAGGCTTCGACACGAAAGCTTCCCACAGAAGCTCAGTTCTTGAACCTGTAAACCTTAAATCCTCAACCGCAAAACCTTGCAGCATACCCAAAGTTGGCTCTGGATCCCACCACCTAAATTCGACAAGTCCTTTTACGCTCAACCTATGATCTAGGCTGGAACAACCCAACCCCCCCGAACCCAAGACCCCAGACCCTGAACCATCACCGTAATACCTGCCTACTCGCCCTAGCCCTATACCCCTAGAAAATCTTTGACCCCTAAACGCTAAACCCTAAACCCTAAACCCTAAACCCTAAGCCCTAAACCCTAAACCCTAAAGCGGATGCCTAGACCACATCAGGAGGGCCCTCCTGAAGAAGAGGAGGAGGAGGAGTTTTCGGACTCCGAAGACAGCCCTTGGGAGGACGTGAGATGAGCAGTTTAGGACTCAGGTTTAGGGTTTAGGGTTTAGGGTTTGGGGTTTGGGGTTTGGGGTTTGGGGTTTAGGGTTTCAGGAAAACAGGGTTCAGTAACTTGGGGTTCGGGCTGAATGTAGTAGGAACATGTAGGAACATGGCTGCGGCACAAGTGTGCCTACAAAACGCAGGCAGTGCTCGCATGCTTTCCCCAGTTCATAATTTGACCCTGAACGTGCGCATAGCATACTGCATGATAGGTGCGAGGCGCGCCGATTAGGGGTTTCCGACATTGGGGGGGGGGGGGGGGGGTACCTTACTACAAGGGAACCTTACTATTTGGGTGACATATTAGGGGTCCCTGATTCTACTATTTGGTGACATGAGGGGTCCCTGATTCTCGCAAACCCGCAATTCCTTCGTCACCATGCTCTGCCTGTGGGATGCATTGTCTCTCTGCGCACGACGCACACAGTGCCAATCAAGATAAAAGCCTGGGAAGCCTAGGGGCTCCCTAAACCCAAAACCCTAAACTCTAAACCCCAAACCCTAAACCTTAAACCTAAATTTCCGGAGACGTCCAGGACCGTGAGAAAACTCCATGAAGGCAAGAAGGTAAGAATAGATCTAGCGGAATGAGGGAAACAAAGTCGCCAAGAACGGAAGAGTGGAAGAAACCGAAGGTACAAGAAAGCCATGAAAGTTTGAACTGTTCACAGTCCCTTCTTGCAGCATGACTTTCCTGGACCCTAAACCCTAAACCCTAGACCCTACAAGGAGGGCCCCCCTTAATTACTATACTAACTAGAGTAAAGGGACTTATAACCAAATCTAGGGTCTTTACAACCCAGTTTAGGGCCCTTATAACTCTACTTATAACTGGGGGGCCCCTCCCTGTAGACCTTGGGGAGCCTGCGGCAGGACATGGCGACCTGGGGCGAGGTCGGCGCTGAAGTCCATGGACGGCGGGCACTAACGAAGGAGTGATCTGCATTGCGGTTTGGGGTTTAGGGTTTAGGGTCTAGGGTTTAGGGTTTAGGGTTGAGGAGTGCTTTGCCTCAGGGTGTCGGGGGTTGAGGGCTTTTTAGGGTTAAGTGCTCAGAGATTCTTGGGAAGTGTTTTTGATGTTTGGGTACTGTTATTCCGAAGAAACAGCAAAAGTTGCACCTGTTGCGAGGGCTCCAAGTTCAGTATAGTGTTGGGGTTAAGGGCTTTTAGGGTTTTCGGCTGTTGGGGTTTTGGTTTAGAGTTTAGGGTTTAGGGCTTTTAGGGTGTAGTAGGGCTTCAGGTTTTGAGGATTTAGGGTGCTTTGCCTCAGGGTGTTGGGGTTTGGGGCTTTTAAGGTTTGGGCTGTTCGGGTTAAGCGTTTAGGGTTTAGGGCAATTAGGGTTTCGGGTTTAGGGTTAAGCGCGTTTAGGGTTCAGGGCTTCTAGGGTTTAAGGCTTAAGGGTTTACGGTTTAGGGCTTTTAGGGTTTAGGGTTCATGCGGGTACCAACAACGGGCACGGGTGCACGGAAGACAGAAGGGAGCAGAGAAGCAACCAGACAAAGAGACAGATGCCGACATGCAGGTGCGAGCTCTTCTTTGGGGATCTCTGTATTGTGAGACAGGTCACTGCACATGTGAGTGCTGCAACCCAGGCATGTACATGGTAAGAAGCAAAAAATGCGTTGTTGTCAAGTGTCCTCAACTGCATGCCATGGCCTGTGCCCCAGCGAAAGAGAGAGACAAGAGAGAGAGAAAGAGAGAGAGAGAGAGAGAGAGAGAGAGAGAGAGAACGAGAGAGCGGGAGAGCGGGAGAGCGAGAGAGAGGGAGGGGACTTGAAGCAGTCGGGAGCCATCGGGGTCTCACAAAAGATTGGGGCTAAGAAGCAACCACGCCATCACCACCGAGTGGCCGCTGTTTTGGGGGGTTTTGCTCTCGAAGGTATTCGGCGCGTTCTCCAAACCTTCTACGCCCCTGAACTCGATGTCCTGTCTCTCCGGGTTTTTCTTGTGCCAGCTGGTCGATGGGTCGATGGGTCTGAGGTAGTCCCTAAACCCTGCGGCTTTGTGCTTCCAGGGGGGTGACTTCCATAGTTGCTCATGAAGTTTAGTAGCCTTTGACTTTTTTCGCGTACTGCAAGCCCCCCTTAATCTTTTTCCCCAATCCGAACCTCATGGCCTAGAGGGCCTAGACTCCAAATCCAAGGTGGAAAGACTGTCCGGGGAGAGTACGTAAGAAGCCTAAACCTTAAACCTCAAACCCCTCAACCCCTCAACCCCTAAACCCCTAATCCCCTCAACCCTCAACCCCTAAACCCCTAAACCCCTAAACCCCTAAACCCCTAAACTCCTAAACCCCTAAACCCCTAAACCCTAAACCCTTTCAGGCTCGGGTCTCCATGGGGCACATCACCCCAGCTCCCCTTCAATATGGGCCCATACCAGGGACTCGAGAACCCAACGCCAAGGGCTTAGCGGCTTAGCGTTTCGGGTTTAAGTTTAGGGTTTAGGGTTTAGGGTTTAGGGTTTAGGGTTTAGGGTTTAGGGTTTAGGGTTTAAGGTTTGCGGTTTGGGGTTTGGTGCTTCGGGCTTCGACTCACATGCTCGCTCAAGGCAGGATCCGGTTGGAAGGTCCATCAGGTGATACATCGACCTAAACCCTAAACCCTAAACCCTAAACCCTAAACCCCATTCGTTGCAATGGAGAGTCCCATTGTGGCAAGGAGGCGCGAGAGTACCGCGAGGAATGGGCGCAGAAGCTGCGAGCATCCGGGCCGGGAGTTTCGTTTAGGGTTTAGGGTTTAGGGTTTAGGGTTTAGGGTTTAGGGTTTAGGGTTTAGGCTTTAGGCTTTAGGCTTTAGGCTTTAGGCTTTAGGCTTTAGGGTTTAGGGTTTAGGGTTTAGGGTTTAGGGTTTTAAGGGCTAGGAAGCCAATAGAAACCCAGGGTTTTAGGGTTTAGGGTTTAGGGTTTAGGGTTTAGTTTAGGGTTTAGGATTAGGGTTTAGGGTTTAGGATTTGGGTTTAGGGTTCATAGGGTTTAAGGTTCACAGGGAGGTTTTACATATAGGGGTTTAGGGCTCAGGTTATAAGATTTGGGTTTAATTAGGCTGTAAAGGATTTAGGGTTTATACGATTGAAGGTTTAGGGCTTCGGGTTCAGGGTTCATGGGGTTTAGGGGGTTCGCAGGGTTGTCACGGGGTTCATAGGGTTTAGGGTTTGAGGGTTTACAGGGTTGGGTTTACAGGTTTACAGGGTTTGGGGCGTGCACTTAGAGGCTCCAGGAATTTCGCAAGCAGGTGATAAAGTGAGAGTATGCTAGTATACAAGCTGACTCCTGCTTGCCAAGACCCCCTGGGCCTCGAGCAAAAAGCCGATTGGAGTACAATCATATCATAGTGGGATTAGCTGCTTACCTATCCTTAAACCCTAAACCCATAAACGATACTTTCTGAGAGAATATTACAACCAGGAAGCGGGTGAGCTTGACATGTGGATTGTGCTGCTATATCGGGTTTAGGTTTCTGCGGTTGGTTTAGGGTTAAGAGTTGTACGCAGCCGTTTAAAAGACAGGTTTTGCAGGCTAAGGGTTTGGCATGGTTTCGGGTTTGGGGTTTGCGGTTTAGGGTAAACCCCAAAACCCGGGACTCTTTCAACTCGTAGATCATCGGTCGTGCGATGTCCGGGTTTGGGGATTCTGAGAGGTCTTTCAAGCACAGATCCAAGATGATTCTGCCAACAGTAGGGCCACGAAGAGTTCCTCCCAGAACAAAGGTTCTCTTCAAGACCAAAACAACCCTAAACCCTTGCAAGCTTCACCAAAAAAATACCGAGGACGCCAAGACGCTGGGGAAGGAGTATCTGGACACCATCCTTTCCAAGGAGCTCTCTCGAACTCCATGGGGTGCCAAACCCCAAACCCCAAACCCCAAACCCCAAACCCTAAACCCTAAACCTAGAGGTCAGCTAAGCGGGTGGCAAAAAAAAAAACCCTAAACCCTGTCGAGGGTTGAGAGTTTGGGAATTTAGTCTTAGAGCCCGACGCTGTTCAGGTCGTGAGGTTCAAGTGAGCAATCGCATGCTACAGCAGTGATGCTGTAGCCCCCCTTTGGAAATATTTGTACTGGTTTATAGAAAAGCCAGACAAGACATTAACAATGTTCTTCTTATCGCGGTTCTAAGGGGGAGTATAGGACTTTTCGACACTTTTGCACAAATCCGGGTTTAGGGTTTAGGGTTTAGGGTTTATAGGGTTTAGGGTTCGAGCGGTTGCAAGCTGGTTGGAAGAACTGCTCGCGTCGCCCTAAATCCTAAATCCTAAATCCTAAACCCATTCAGGGCTTCGCACGTAGGGTTTGGTCCGTGGTCGTCAAAGCATGATTGCGGATTCCGAAGCCTTAAGCCCCCACTCCCCACTGTCTCCCCCAGGGGGTTTAGGGTTTAGGGTTAGGGTCTGGGGTTTGGGGTTTAGGGTTTAGGGATAGGGTTTGCGGTTTGGGGGTTGGGTTTAGGGTTTAGGGTTTAGGGTTAGGGCTAGGGTTTAGGGTTTAGGGTTTAGGGTCTAGGGTTTAGTGTTCAGGGCTAAAGGCCGCCGGGGCCGGCCGCACTTGCGGCGACATCCGGGATCAGGTCTTGTCGGAGGGTCGGGGGAGTTACTTGGTAGCCCACTGGTTCCCTTTACCCTTTTTTTGGTTCAAGGTTCCCTTATAAAGTAACCAACCCCCAAAAGGGTGCCCTTATTATGATATGGTTGCTGGGCTACCAAGGTTATGTAAGTAGGTACGAAGTAGAGGGAAAAGCGCCCTGATGCGAATCTGGCTCCTGTTATCCTGGGTATGTTCACATGATTTTAACTACTTACACCTGATCCTCCAAGTTTCGCTCCATAAGCCCTAAACCCTAAACCCTAAACCCTAAACTTTCAAACCCCAAACCCCAAACCCTAAACCCTGTGCAGCTCAGCCCTGCGGCCAGGAGGATTTCATCCGCTTCAAGAAGACGATGCGACAAGCAAGACCCTCTTGCGACGGCCGGC